GAGAGAGAGAGAGAGAGAGAGAGACAGACAGACAGAGAGAGAGACAGAGAGAGAGCACTAGCGACAGGGGCGTTAAACTCCTGGCCTTGTTGAGAGAATGTAGAGATCTGAGAGACTGCATAGGCGATTTTCAAACCTACTGTATAATTTCCATATTAACATTAATTTTTTTCTCATACACTTGCCCAGAATTTTCACTTGGTGTCTTTTTAAAACACAGTAGAACTGATCATATGTCTTTTTTTTTTTCAGGTAAGTATTTTACGGCGCTGGCAACCGCATAAGGTCATATGAGCGCGCAGAACCCACGAAACATTTTCAGTTGGTAGGAAATTCTGAATTTTGCCCGGGTAACTGCCGAAGCCTACTCGATTTTGGATGACCAAGGGATCTTTAATGTATCTGTTATACAGCAGGAAAGGGTGTGAAAGTAGAAAATTTAAAAAGAAGAAATGTTTTCGTCGTTATCCTGATTTGAGTCCGGGGACCTATTGAATGAGAGGAGAACACCTTAACCTCGAGACCACGCGAACTCCCGATCATAAGTCTGATGTTTAAACACCCTCACGACTCATAGTGGGGCTCTCATGGCCTAGGGGTTAAGGTGTTCGCCTCTCATTCAAAGGTCCCAGGTTCGAATCCAGGTAGCGACGGAAAATTTGTCTTCTGTAAAATTGCCCCCTTTCACCTTCTTTCCTGCTCTCTAGTTAGCAATGTTCTGTCGTCTGCTTTCCTCTCCTCTTTCTGCCCCCATCCCCTCACCTCCTTTGCCCCTCCTCTGGGCTCCTGACTTTTTCTGCAGCCTTTCTACTGCTACTAATTGGCTCTTTCTTTACTGCTGTCTTTCATCCACACCCCTGATCTTCTGGTAGGAAAGATCTACACCTAGACTTCTTGGACAAGGGCGAAAAATCTCAGAGGGCCAGAGCGCAAGTTGTGCACATTAAAGAACCCTTGGTGGTCTAAAATCCTTAAGTAGAGTAGGCTTCGGCCACAACCTGCACACAATTCAAAATTTCCCACCAACTGAAAATATTTAATGTGTCCCGCACGCTCATATGACCTTACGCAGTTGCGAGCTCCTTAAAACCCTTACAAAAAAACAACAACAACCCTCACAAATGTATAAACTATACAATGCAGGTAATTTTGGACGTGGAGCACTTGCTAGCACAGAACAGAGAGAGTTTTCTTTTTTATACCCACATGGACACAATAATGGTCATATCACGAAAAAAAACAGCAGAGGAAAGGGAAAAAAAGGAAGACTTCAGCCTCAGTGGCGCCTGTGGCATTCGCGTTGTACAGAGAAGAAAAAGTTCCAGGACAGAGGAGACCCCTTGAAGAACTACAGTGGAAACAGGGATGGGGTGACCAGAGAAAAAGTACTGTTATATCAGATCCTTGTTAAATCAGAAATGCAAGGAAAGTAAGCATTTGTGGACTTATCCAGCTGTATTTATTCATGGGTAGTTTCCCGTGTCACAAGTACCCACTAACACGGGGTTTTGGCCATGTGGCCGGTCTGCGCATGACACATTACACCTGCGTGTAGCTAGGCTTTGGGCTAGATCAAAGTCTGCAGCACACCACAGCCCTCTCTCGCTTCACCCGCTGCGTGTGCTTGCAGTGGCGTGGCTTGCTCCATCACTGCATTTCTCTCTCTCTCTTATTTTTTACACATTGTTAACAAGCCTTTGTCCCTGCTATAACCGGTTGGGCTCCAATGAGGCCCTGTTATTGCAGATAACTTTTAATAGAGACAAAGAGTAGGTCCCTGTTATTACCGGGGCTGTTAGTTTCCACTGTATCTAAGTTACTTTTACTAAGCACTTCATAATACCTTCATCTCAACACAAAAAACACACAAATCAAAGAACATCCGTACAAACGCTAACAAATTTAAGTAGGCATTCACACTATCAATGCACAATCATTCATGAGTGGCATTTAACAAGGTTTGAAAGAACAAAAAAAAACCATGAAAGTCTAAATAGTAGTCGACCACTTTAATTAGGCAACAAAACAATCAAAACACTAACACTGTTTATAAAATTTCAAATACTCCCACCTAACTCTGAACGCTTGCCAATGTACGGTGTTCTCAGACACCTGAATTTGCAGAAAATATACATGTAATATCAAAATGTTTGAAGAGATTCGCAAGATATTTCAATTCATTAACATCCACTGATTTTTTTATAAACCTAGTCTATGTTTTGTTTGGTAAGTACTATAACAAAATGATCTGGTTAACTGTAGAAATATATTTCATATCATTGGTCAATTTTCAGAATAAGACAATAATTCCTATTCTTAGCCAGTGTGGCAAAAGCTTTCACAATTCCAAAAAAGTTCAAACACTCTCAAGGGGAACGGCAGCTTTGAACAAATCTCATCTGTGCAAGAAAGGACAGCAATGCCTCAGACAAGAAAAATGTACTCCAAGATTAACTCAACAGCAATAAAAAACAAAATACAAGCATCAGTAGTAAGAGCTCAAGGTGAACAGAAAAGAAAACAACAAACATACGATAAAATGCATCATAGTCAACATATCACTGTCCTTTAATGGAGACTAATCCATTTCGATCACCATAAAAACAAGAACCATTTTTTTTCTTCCAAACTAGCCCATGCGTGCTGTGGCAAGTCTACTAGAGACATCATTCCAATTGGCTACATTGAAAATGGCACTAACATAATCAGGACGGACATTTTTGTACTGAAGGTAGTAGGCATGTTCCCAGACGTCGATGCCGAACAGAGGAACAAGGCCTGAAACACACAAATAGAGCAGATGTTATTGTAGTGTTTGGATGAACTGAAATATCATTCTTTTCTTTTGTTCAAACGAAAAATAAGCCTACAAATTGGTCTTACGTTTCCTTCAGAGTATCAAGATACAGTGGAACTCGGATTCAACTGAAACACTGATTCAATGAAAGAAGTCAGATTCCCTGTTTTTATCATTCATTAAAAATCAACAAAATAAATCAGATTCAACGATCATATACAAAGGAGCAAACTCAGATTCAACAAAGTCACTGGCAGTGCAGACGGCCCCTACTAAGGGGGAAGGGGGAAAGTAGACACAAGTGCCTTGGGTGTGGAAAGTTAGCAAAGAAACATAGACGCATCACAATCGTTATTCCGAGTTCCACATTGTTATTTTAAAAAAAGTTTTAAAAAACAATAATAACATAAGCAACAATACTTACACAGAACCTGCAGAAAAAAGTAATAAAAGAAATAGCAATCCTGAAAATAAAAACTTATAAACTGCATTCACGTAGAAAATTTTCAGAAACTCAGTTGAAGGTAGGTAAACTGCTTTAATCATTAGAAACAATTGCTACAAATTTCTTTTTTGAAATTCAACCGCAAATGAAAGTGAGATACAGAAGTCGTCACTATAGAAACAGCAATATATGCTGGTCAAGAACATGCACAAATTACAATTCTACAATAATCTGCTACCAATAAAATAAACGCAGGTCAACATGAAGCAGAAATACCAGAATAAATAAACTGCTCACAATTCCTCAACACTCCTACAGCATTTCAGTGATCTTGTATACATGATGTACATAACTGTTATAAACCCCTCACCAGTTGTTTATGACAACGAAGAAATTTGTTGTCAGACATGAAAGACATACAGATACACAGCTGGACTAAACTACATGCCCAAGGCTCAGTTCTGAGCCTGAGTCTCCATTTCTTATCCTTTCCTGAAAGATTTGACACTCATCACCAAGGGAGGTCAAGGAATAAAGCACTCTTTCTGATTCTAAAAAAGGACAATCTGAGGCTAGACAAAACCATTACCTGTTGTCGATTGCAAAGGATCCTGGTTGGCACAGGTGGCAATGCGCAGCCGCCCAGTGACAGGGTTGTAGCCTAACCAGCCCCAGCCTGAGCCTTGAATTCCAACTGATGATGCAACCAGTTCTCCCTTCATGCGTTCAAAAGAGCCGAAGTCCGACTTGATCGCATCCATGAGGTCCCCAGTAGGCTCACCTCCTCCTTTGGGGCTCAGATTCTCCCAGAAAATGCTGTGGTTGATATGTCCACCTCCATTGAACTTGAGAGCAGGCTGCAAAGCTATGATGGCACCAACATCTCCTGATAATACAAGAATCATTGTCATTGGTTAGTTGTAATGCATTACTTTTCCGATTTTACCTGAGTATATTTCACACACCATAAATGGAACCAACTCATGGTATAACTTGATCCCCCCCCCCCCCCCCCCAAAAAAAAAAAGAAGAAAATGTCTCTTGGCTGAACTCAAACTAAATTAAATATGATTTAGTGCACAAAAAATGATACTGCTCTCAGGAAGCAATCATGACTAGGTTCAACTGATCCTTACTATTCTTCTGCTTTTCCTGTACGGTTCCCTTTTTCATGCACTGAATGACTGTTACAGTGAAACTCCAATTCAACGAAAACGTAGATTCAACGAAAGGAAACAGATTCCCCATTTTTAAAATATTTATTAAAATCACCAGCATAACCTGAATTCAACAAACATATATATAAACAAGTGAACTCGGATTCAACAAAGTCGTTTGCAGGGCCAGTATTGCTGACACACATGTAAGACATGATGTATCTTAGCATGCTCCGAAGTAGGGAGAGCTCGGATGGGTAGCCAGTACACATCAAGCTGTTAGTGCTTGTGTCTCCTGGGGGGGGGGGGGGGGGGAGTAGGCACAAGCATTCTGGGTGTGGAACGTCAGCAAAGAAACAGCCACCACGCAGGTCATATCCCCCCCACCTCCTCCCAATGAACGATGAAAGGCTAACTTAAGACATAGATCTAGGTCTACGTATTGATTTGTACACTTGTCTGTGGAAACAAACGCTGCCGTACTCTAGGCCCTATATTGTAACACAATATGTTGCACGCATTGCTATGAACACTCGGATTCAACAAAATTGAAAGTCAGGCTGGATGACTTCTTTATCTACAAGTTTCATTGTATTATGTGCATGATTTCAATTTTATTCAAATATAATAAACAAAAATACAGCCATATTTATCCTAAACACAACACTAAAACTTGATGGATATAGGTTGAAAGTCTTCACAGCATTATACGGGGCGACTGCCAAAATTACTTTACATTTTTCAGGGGTGGGAGGAAATCACTTTCTAGGGCTATGTTACCAGGGGCAGCAGACACTCCAACATGTACAGTTTTATTATAGACACAAACACTCAAAACTCAAAACTACGGATATCTTGTTGTACAATATTCCCTTCTCCAATCCAACTGAACTGCTATTCAATCATTTTTGACTTGGTGACAGTGTTTTCTCAAACATTCATGGATTTGTCAAACAGCTCATCTTGAAAAATGCAATAAAATTTCACCTCACATTTGCTCCAATTCAAAAGTCCGTCAAACACAAAAGAAACAACACACCTATTGTCATTGTGAGCCCACCAGGCTCATCCCCGCAGTGTGACACACACACTGCTGGTATGCAGACACATCATCGCACATTATCTGTATCATCTGTATCTATATATCACTAGAACTTCCATGAACATAATCATGTGAGGGTTGCTTTAGTTTTAGTAAGAGTTTTACAGCACTTGCAACACCATAAGGTCATGTAAGTGCCGAAGATTAGAGGTGTTACAAGAGAGTAACAAACACAAAAGAGAAGGAGGAGAGATAAGGACGATAGATGTTCAACAGGAAAGAAGGAGCAGACCACAAAGAGCACCCGCCAACCACCTTCTTATGAGGGTTAGTGCTGAGTGGTAGTGGTAGCGGAGTGATCGAAGACAGACCGTGTGGTGCTGTATCGAGCTGTTCAATCAAGTGTCTTACGCACACTACAGGTAATGTGCACTCATCCATCTCCATACTAGCAGTCTGTGTATCCAAAGGTGCAGGAGCGAGCGTGGTGGGTTCTAACCGGATACTCTAGAAGCCAAAAGGTGTCTTCCATCATGCGTAAAGGCAATTTGAATTAGAGACAATTGTGAGGAAAAGTGTGGGTGTTTCGTAATGACCTGTTTAAAAAACCTGAACAAGCGTTAAAGAATACCATATATTGCCAATACAAAGAAAATATAGAGGTTCAGTCGGGGAAAGACATACACATATTGTGCGGGCTATCTATGATCTCGAGTTCTGCATGTTCATGTTATCTGTGCCTTACCGTATGTTGTTTTGAACTCCAGGGTTAACCCTTAAATTATTCACCCTGACTATTCCATAGACCTTTCAAAACGGTATGTGCTCTGAGCGCAAACAAAATGCGAACAGTAGTCCTGATGGATGAATAAAAAATTTGTGACTGGAATATTGATGCAGAACAAAGTAAGGTTAGAGACAAATATATGTCTTTTTCACCTTTCTGAACAGCTTCTGCAAGTTTTTCCTCTGTCGCATTCAAGTTGTTCACATATGTGTTGTGATGCTTCTCGTAATGCAATTTCATGATGTCAGCAGAGATGTATGGCTCCAGTGCATTGAAATCATAATTCAGGTCCGGTAACGTGTGCTTCAGTCTGCTTGTCGCAGCACCAAGTGAAGCAGCTTTAGAAATACATCTGAGGAGGAAGAAAAAAAAAGGAACTGTAAAGAATCAACAAAAATGACTGACTTCAATCAACTCTATTCTTGTAAAAAACGAAAAGGCGAGGGGTGCAGCAAGGAGATCCGCTTGACTTTATTACTAAATTTAAACTGAACGTATAAGTATAAGGTATCAGAAAGGTGAGGAAATCCAAGGCCATAGAAAGGGCACTGAACTCAAACTGGTCAAGGTGACTAAAAAAAACAACTGTCCTAGCATTTTGAAAAGTTGCTAATTTTCACAAAATACTAGTAGTACTACTATGGCCTTTTCGTCTTGACAGACTACAATACAGCCGCATGCATGATACAGCTTTGCTTGGGCAGCAGTAGACAAAGATGAAGTCGATTGCCCAAGTACTTCTCTCCTTGCCCCAGCTGAATGTGACTAACTGAAGGCAAAGAGCCCTACGAAATCAGAAAAATGGTCACATACATAAAAACAAACTGCTCTCCTTTCTTCTGATCTTGACTTCCTTGATATGCTTCAAAAGAAAGACAGTATCAATACATTCGGGATCAAGAAAAATGTAAGGGTGTGTCTTCTTACAATTTTATAGTATGTGACAGATTCTTTACGGGAGAGATTTTGAATTTGGTATGGGTTCGGCCCTTTGACCCACTCTTCTATGATTTTTAACCACCAAAGGGATCTTTAATCAATGTTTGAAGGAAAAGAAGGAGCAAACCACACCTGAGCACCTGCCAACCAACCACTGTGTGGCAGGATGCTTTAGAAGAGACTGTCAGCACACACTCCAGCCATCACAAATTAGAGAAGTGCAACGTACAAGGACTGATGTGGGCCTTGTGTTGAATTGAACCCTACTAAGAGTGCCCTTTAAACTTAAACATTTCATCAAAACTGTAAAAACCCCAGGCTTAGTCAGTATAAAAACATATGTGTCACGATGTGGGGGAATCAGGCGCCCGTCAATTTTTAGGCATATGGGGTTATTGGTATCATCTTAACACTTTGCCATCACAAGGCTCATATAGTAAAAACCCTTGCTATCAAAGGAAAAGGCATTTTGGGGAAAAATCCAAAGAAACTGGGTGGTAAACATTGCCAATCGGCGAGATGTGACGGCAAAGTGTTAAAGCCTGTTCATTTGCCTTCCTTTGGGGGAAAAAAATACCCATCTACCTTAAATAGAAGTAGAGATATTTGCGATTGAAGGAAGTAAAAGTCACTTGGTTTCAAAGGTAAAATTAGTGAGAAAATGGCGACCAAAGTTTGGTAACCTCCATAGCCTGAGAATCCTTGGAAACTGAAAATTTAAATTTGTTGTGCCTTTAATCAATATTTTTCAGTAAAATCCACACAGAAAGGTGTTTTTAAATGGACATGAAAGTTGTTGAGCCCAAAAAAACAAAATATTAAAATTGCCCATTGGCCAAAAAAATTTACAATGTCTTTGATTTAATTATTTTTACGAGCGCCTGAGTTCACCATGGCGCCTCACATAAAAAATATATATTATTATATATAAAGTGCCTTCACTACAAAATTAGAATGTGGCTGACTGAAGGCAAAGGGCCCTACGAAGTCAGAAAAATGGTCACATAATAAAAATCAAATGCAATGCCAGTACATAAAGAAGATATCAATTTGTCAGATTCTTTTCTTTTTTTTAATGACATGATCTATTTTATCACAAAAGGCAAGAACAAATTTTGGACTTAAAATTCTATAGATTTGCTTTGTGCGTTTCCACTGTACTAGGTGTGCGTGCTAGACTGTTACTTTCTTTTCAAGTGAGTATTATTAGTAGGCCTACTTATAAACAGAGGTTACTCCTGCAGCATTTTTATGTGACAATGTGTATGAAGGGAGGCCACAGCCATAAATACTCTTACTAAATTATTTGCTTTGGTTTTGGATTTGTTGTAGATGAAAGGCAGTAAAGTCATAGAGAGAAATCACTTTTAAAAAATCATAAGAAGATATGTGACCTGCCCACAGCAGTAGGCCCTAGTCTGAGTAGCCCATACAAGTTATCTCATATCTGGACATGGGGAAGGTAGATCTACAAATTGGTTTTTTAAAATAGTTTTACTGAAAAGAAGTAGGAAGAGAAAAGGGAGAAGCACACTTTGACTTTGGATTTGGAGGAATAGTTGGGTTGATAAGTAGTTAAGACCAATAACTTGTACTCCTCACAGAATGTCATGTCATCGTACAGTCCATGCCGGCTTTAGGCATGGTCATCGGGAGAAAGCTTAAGCGTGCTTAAAGCCGAAGCATGCTTAAGTGCGAAGTAGACATAATCCAGAGATTTTCATGTAGAAAATTCCCTGTGCTATTACCCTTTGTTTGTAAGTAGGCCTATAGCGGTCCCGCAAAAGTGTGCACTGTTATTTAAACACCCGCCATGGTAGTTTTTGTTCGCTTGTTTGTTTTTGTTTTGTGGTCGAATGGGAAATGAAAACTTAATTTAGACGGCAAGTCACGATACAGCACACTAGGCCTACTGTAACACACTGCCTGTGCGTACCACTGCCCGCTGTGCCACTCATACATGTACCACCGCCTTCATCCCACATCACGCGTGATACACAATCAGGATTAATGGATAGCGAGGGTCAAAGGTGAAACCACAGCCAGCCTCCCTTTCTCGTCTCCCCGACTCTCTTTGTATTTTTTATTTGGTCGTGTGTAGCTTTGCCCTAGGCCTAGGCTAGATCCTATGTCCGCGAGCACGGCTGTGTGCTTCTCTCTGCCTTCCTCTCCGCCCGTGTGAGTGTGTGTGTCCATCACTTGCGTTCTTTGTGTTTCTCTTGACACACTCCACTGCTGCGGTGTAAACTGTGTTCGAACTTCGATGGGTCATCATGAAAATATTGACTGTCTTGTAAATGAAGCGTGCTTGAAGCCAAAGTTACCGTGCTTATAGGCGTGTAATTTATATAGCAAAAATTCGGTAAGAGCCGTTTGGCGTGCTTGAGTCCGAAATGTGCTTAAGGCCGGCGTGCTTAAAGCTGGCACGGACTGTACTAATCAGTCCTGACTTCAATACTTTTGCCAAAGCACATGCATGCTCATTTTTTTGCAGTTGGGTAGCCTTGATGAAAATAGTATAGATTTAGATATTAAAATAAGTCGATGTCAGGACTGGGACGCATGTCCTTGCTATGACACGTGACATGCCTTCTTCTTCTTCTTCTTCTTCTCGATCGCATCACTCTTGAAGTCATGGTATCTGTCATAAATTGGGCCGTCCTGCTCAGTTCATCTGTCGGCCCGTATAGCTTCCCTTGTAGCGTCAGTGGGGTTGGCCACGTTTCCTGTCTCAGGGCCCTGTGTGTCTTGCAGTGCTGAAAGATGTGTTCAACAGTTAGGTCCGCCTGTCCACACTGGCATTTTGGTGATTGTACTCGTTTTAAACATCTGTACATATGTTGTCTCAGTCTTGTGTCCTTAGCCGTAAGATAATCTCTTGTTCTTGGCGGGACAGTTCATGTAGCTATCTGGTGTCTGAGGTGCTTTCAATAGTGTATTTCTAATAGTTTTTATTTCTGTGTAGTTAACGCTGTTGTCTGGTTGCTCTTTCTGTGCTCCCAGTTTGGCCATCCTGTCAGCCTGCTCATTTCCTAAGACATCACAATGTGATGGAATCCACTGCAGCATGATCCTCAGACATGGGATGTCCTCAATTACTTTTCGTAGCCTTGGTAGTTTGCCGGCAGTGATTGCCTGCAGTACTGACATGGCATCTGTTAGGAATACAGTCGAACCTGTGTAAGACGGAATCGCAAGGGAGCAAGAAAAAAATTTCATCTTACACAGGGGAATTTAGGGGGAGATGGAAGGTGGGGGGGTCAAAGGCCAGTCGGTGGGATCAAGGATCGTTTGTCCGATCGGCAAGCAGGGTCAAAACTTCACACCTCTCAACTGCTATCCTGTCTGATCATGACATGTGTCAGTCTTACTTATCCAATTACCGCCAGGGCTTGCCTTTCATAGGGCCACTGTTTGACCTACTAAAAAACAGAAACTCTGAAACGTTTGAACATCCCCTTTGCTTCCACCCTTAGCCCCACCCACCAATGCCACCCCTCACTGCCATCATTGTAACAACGATTCAAGGAACTCTTTTCTCGGCTGGCCGTACGAACAGGACGGCAGGCATTGGTCAATTTAATTTCACACCTCTGGCTTCTGGCTACCAAGGAAAGTTTCTGTGGTGGCTGGCTACTCGAGCACTCTCACGGGCAGTCGTGAGATTTCACACCCACACTACACTGACCATCTGCATCGCTCAGGGCTCACATGATGGGTTAACATCTACCCCAGAATTGCACCCGTACTACCCTTCCTCGTCCAGAGGCATGGCCATAGCGTTAGGCTAACGGAGCCAAACTTGCGAGTTTTGTTTCAAATCAGGGCTGAGCGGGCAAAGCATTTTCCGTCTTAGACAGGTGAAACCCTCTGAAGAGAGCGGATTTTTCTTTCCGTTTCCGCGTTAGACAGGTTTCCGTTTTATACAGGTAAATAAAGAGGAATATTTCAAGGGGGTAGCGGGGAGATTCCGTTAAGACAGGTTTCCATTTTATACAGGTTTCCGTTAAGGCAGGTTCGACTGTACTACTTGGCTTTGGGGGTCTACCACATTCTTGATGATGTTTGTTGCATGTATTAGAGCCTCCGTCTCTGCTCTGTAGTTTGTACAATGTCGTCCTGTTGGGACTGCCTCTGCTTGTCGTTGTCCATTTGGGAACTGTACGTACACTCCGGCTCCTCCTCTTTTCACAGCATCAGAGGCAGATCCGTCCGAAAAGATCCTTATCCATGCTTCTCGTGGGTATCTTTATTCAAGCATGGACAGGGTGAGGGACTTCTTCCTCAGGTCGCTGTGGTAATCTGTTATGGTGAACATAGGAATGGACGTGTGTATAATTATGTTTGTGTTTTTCTTTTCCCATGATGGTGCCTCTGGGGTATGGTTTAGCATGTTCACTGTGGCTGGTAGATGGTACTGTTGGGATCTTTTGATTTTTCTGCTTTCTTTGAAGAAGTTGGATCTTTTAAGTCTTGTGGGGTTTGATCTGGCTGTTCTTGTGTGCAGTATATAATCCTCCATAGCTGTGGCCTTGGTGTACTGTATGAGGGCCTTGCATTCCCATCTCCTCTACAGGGCCACTATAGATGTTGTTTGTTCCATCTTTTCAATAAGGCGTTGACCTCATTGCTCCAATGATTATTCGGAGAGCCTGGTTTTGCACTTTTTCCAGAGTGTATTTGTGAGTCTGTGCTGCAGTCATCCATGCACTGGATCCGTACTCGAGATGGGGCCTGATTGCGCCTAGATAGACCTGTCTAAGCGTTTTCTCATTTGCTCCCCACCGAGTCAGTGCTAGTTTTCTCATGATGTTAAGTTTCTTCCTGGCTTTATTTTCTGCATTTTGAATGTGTTGTTTCCATGTGAGACGCTTGTCAAAGATTATTCCAAGATACTTCAGTTGATTCTCAAATTTCAGTGGGGTTTTGTCTGATGCGAGGTGTTCTGGCTCAGCCTGGCTGAAAGTGAAGAGTGTAGCAGAACAAGACTTTTCTTTGTTTCCGGTTATACACCAGGTTTTTGTCCATGTAGTGAGTTTGTTCAGTGCTAGTTGCATGCGATGTGTGGAGGTAGTGACGAATTCCTCAGAGCACCAAAGAACCAGGTCGTCTGCATACAATGCGGCATGTATTCCTTTGGGCAGTTCTTTCATGAGGTAATTGATGAAGAGGATAAAGAGAAAAGGTGACATAACTCCACCTTGGGGTACTCCTTGTCGAAGCAGCATTTTCAGTCTTTGATATTCATCCACCAGCACACGTGCTCTTCTGTTGTGTAGATAAGATTTGGTCCACTGGTACATGTTGCCTTGGATACTACTTCTAAGGAGCTTGACTAGTAGACCCTCCTTCCACACTTTGTCAAATGCTTTTTGTTGGTCAATAAATGTTGCTAGCATCACTTCTGTGCCTGGAAGGAGTCCTCTATTACTTGGGATGTTGTTTGGTCCTCTGTGCTCCTGGTGACATGCCTTGTTTGAGCATAGATCTTTTAAATTATTCGCCTAGTAATGAAAGTGCAAACCTTTTAACGACATAATTGGAAGTGGTAGAGACAACATTATTGAAACTCATACCTGGTGGCAAAAAAGTGACTTTCCATGAAATTTTTGTTTTTTTGGATCTATTGAGGGGAAGTTTGATGTCTTCTGCTTCATTTAAGATAAAAAATAATCAACTGCAATTGACTATAAATATTTAATTTTGATTTGTTTTTTAAGGTGTGTGTGATTTGTTGTGAGCTTGGGGGACGAGATATAAAGGAATTTGGACCTTGCTAGTGTGTAGCTGTGAGATTATTTTTAGAACCATTACCTCATGGCCACCTTTACTTCAACCATGGTAGTGGAGTATCTTTGCTTCAACGTTCTTCATTTGCAACTATTTTTAGATTTTGACCCCTTTTCGAGCATAAATGGTCTGAAATGCAAACACCTCTGATTGGTAAATTGGAGTAAAAACGGTAGCTTCTAGCTCACTTCAAGCTTGTTTACGTCCATTTTCGTGAAAATCTTGTTTTGTCCATAAGTTTTTTCTCTGTGAATGAATAGTTTTTTCTACTTTTGTATGTTACCTTGTAATGGCAGCCAAGATAACTTTTAAATTTCAAGTTTATGTCTCAATTCTAAAACCCCCATTGCTATGGAACCACGTTGCTCAACTTCGGAGGCCATTTTCTCCTTTTCGTTTCGTGTTTCCTCACCTAGGACAATTAAAAGTTCGACTGTATTTTTGTCAAATATGGTCATATTTATGACTTCATTCTTGTTTTATATTGTGGGGAAAAGGTGATAGTTTAAAAAAAATAATGATAATGTTAACTCAGTTTTGAAATTTCCTTCAAATGACAGATATTGACCAGCAGGGACACATAGAATCTAGATTTTATAGTCTCTCCATATATGCATGCGCGTCAAAAATTTAAAAAGTAATCGTTTAGAACCAGAAGTAATCATTGGTGGAGCCAAAACCAGCACTCCATAGAGAATCTAGATCTAATCTAGATCTTAAATTGTAAACGGGACCCACATTCTTAAGTAGTACCAATTGTGAAACGAAAAATAAACGATCAGAGTGTTGGTCTGCTTTGTCCAACTTTCGGTTCACAACAAATCAGCTGTCCTCACCAAAAGGTCAATTCTGTCCAGTTTTATGATCTCAGGCCAGTTTTGTAAACAAACAAAAATTAAATAAAAAATCGTAAGGCAAAAAAAAAAGTGTCTACAGACAGCTCCAGAGGTCAATTAGATCTAGATCTAGATCTAGATATATACTAGATCTTGATCTAGATCTAGTAGGACCAGGGATCAGAACACACTTTGACTTTGGATTTGGAAGAATAGAGTAAGTCAATGTCAGGACTGGGACGCATGTCCTTGCTATACTACGACACATGCCTGTGGAGCTTTCAGAAGATCTTTTTATTTTTACATTATACTCTATATTCGCCTTGTGACGAAAGTGCAAACCTTTTCAATACGTTGGAAGTGGTAGACAACATTATTGAATCGCCAACAGTATGCCCTAGAAGCGTAGATTTGACCCCTTGTGCCAATAATTAATTGCAAGCGAACTCTCCACTTCAGTCTTCCACAGCGGTGCCCAGAGCAGTGCAGGCAGGCAGAGTGCAGACTCGGTCAGATTCAGTAGAGCTTTGTTTTGGTAGTGTCCTCACTCCTCACGATTGCTTTTAGCCTAGGCTAGGGTCAGGGTAAAGGTCAATTCTTACATCCTCTAATAAAATGATTTTAGAGAACATGCAACATACATTTTTTTGTTGTTGTTGTAGTTTTGATAGTTTTGATTTAAAATAATAGCTTTTGAATAGCAGTATGAAAAAAAATAGAACACATGGCACCAAAAAAATCAACTCTCGCGCACGATTTGCATAATTTTATCTGTAGTCTGTAATGGCGGACAGCGTCTAATGTGTACCATCAACCACAACTGATACATTTGACGTGTTGGCTTTACTGAAGCTGCAACATTGGTATTATGTCCCTAGATTTATGTTGAACACTTTGCCCTGAATTTCACGTTTCAATGATGTGATGTAGAATTAGACCAATGAACCTCCTCAGTAATATTAAAGATTGAAGTTGTTACACAGTACGTACAGGCAAGGCTCCCTCCCTGTTTCTGTCATTGGATCTACTGTCAGTTTAGTCATCGCTCGCTCATACTTCAAGAGTAAGCTGAGGTTTGCCTAAAATTGAACTCAGAAGTCCGCCGGTCCTAAAAAATCATTTTGTATTCCTGCCATATCTATGATGAGTATGAGATGGTCAGTTTTTGCTTGGGGTGTAGTCTAGCTAGTGTAGATTCTAGATCTAGAAGAGTACATCCTGTGGTGCGATATACAGTAAGCGATCTTTTGTGGACATCTCTGGAAGTTACAGGTCGATCTTCATGATTTTTTCACCAGAAGTTAGAAAAACTTCCTCTCTATACGGTGTAGCGTATTACTGTAACAGCAGTTTAAAATTTCTATATGTTGTGGTGGTGTTTGTTTGGTAACGTGTGTCTGGTTTGGTGCGCAAGGTTTCTGGTTTTGTGCAACATATCGTCTGGTTGGGTGCCCAATAGTACCATGTTTACAGCTTTAGATCTAGATCTAGCTCTTTTCTGACACTTTTCATCTTTCTCTATCCTTGCCTTGTCTTCTTTTCCTTGCAAGAAGTTCCTGTACTGACCATAACGGAAGGCCAAGGTCAATTAGGCGTGTTCTTTTTGGGAGCTGTGCGCCCCGTAACAGGAGATTTCCTTACACCTTGTGTATGTGTTTTGATAATGGATAAAAAGAAAGGTGCTGTGGACACAAGAAGGGGAAAGAAGAAAACAAGAATAAGACTATACCTAGACTAGTATTTTAGAAGGAAAAGGACAAAAAAGAAGAAGAAAAAGACGTGAAAAGAAGAAATTGAAAAAGAAAGGTGCTGTGGACACAAGGAAGTGAAAGAAGAAAACAAGAATTAGACTATACCTAGACTAGTATTCTTTAAGGAAAAGGGAAAAAAAGAAGAAGAAAAAGACATGAAAAGAAGAAATTGAACATTTTGGAGATTATATTTCCATATTAATTAATTTTGACATGAATACATTAACTTATCATCTTCCAATGGCAATATAATGCATCCAAATGGAAGGAAAACAGTCTGTTCCAGTGCACAATGCAGGTCATAAAGAAATAACTTAATAAGTAAAACAAACTTTGACAAAGGGCCTAGAAGCCACACTATCAATGCCAAATAGCAAAAAAGCCGATATTGCGCACTGAAACGGACTGCCCAAATTTGGTCCGCTTCAGTGCGCAACCCTATCTGGCATGTTCCTGGGCATTAAGAAGCAGCCTGCGATAGTATTTATCGATTCTAGTATACATTCTACGATACATTAGAGCTAGATTAGCGAGATGTGCTAAATAATCGACTACTCAAGCGCTTAGTAAATTGACCGATACCCGTTACGAAAACCATTAATATGAAGGGGCAAAACTTTCCGACACCGTAGAATCACGTGTGTTGACAGGAACCTCCAAAACGAAAGTGAAATAAGCTGCATTCTGCGCATGCTCACAGAAAGTGACCTCGTTTTCGCTGTTCTTATCCAAAACAAAGCAGGAGACCGGGGGTTGCGCACCCAAACAGTAGCGCGGTGATGCGGGCCTACTCTATCTAGACTCTAGAATCTAAGTCTAGATCTAGAATCCCTATACAGTCAGTCACAGTACAGCAAAGGCAAACTCATGCCATGCTCATAGTCGACATAGTCACAGTGGCCCGTGGCATGGATGATGGTCTCTAACCTTTTCTAAAGGCCACCTCTTTTCTCATCCGGGGTGAGATGGCAAATCGGTGCTTTTTCGGTAGTTCCCACCCCCCTTATTTGAGCCTGACCTACATCTAGATCTATAGACACCTGCCCTTGGCGCGACCGTGCCCTGAGCGCGACCAGTTCCCCATTTTTCCTTCTGTGCAGCTCGTGTGCAATCTGTTTTATTAGAGTTACATGCCTTGTCTAGTTCCACTTTTGGTCAATCCTTAATTTTCCAAGAACGTCAGTCGTCTGGCTAGTGCAGCAGTCGAGTTCGAAGTGAAAGGCTTATCAGAAACATTCTTAGAGAAGTTTTCTTCAGTTACTAAACTAGAGTAGCTGGCCCAACCCGCGACCACTTGTCTCTGTACCCTCTGTTATCAATAAGATTATGGTTTTCATCATGATTTGATAAAGAAATGATTTTACTAACCCTTAAATGGTGTACTAACAACTTTCTTGCACCTGTCATATCTGTGCGCGCATGGTCGCACCCTGTTCCGTTTGCGGTCGCGCTGAGGGCATGTGGTTGCGCCAAGGGCAAAGCATTAACATGTTAAAATGCGAAATCTGAGAATGAAGTTTTGGAATGATTGACGATATCACAGTATAAACCGGAAGTTGACACACTGAAGCAGCCCTGAACATGGATTGCATGACCTATTTTGCTGACAGAGACCACTGAGAAGCAAAATACGACAAGTGGTCGCGGGTTGGGCCAGGTACTCTAGATCTATACGTTTGATTCGCGGTGAGCTAAGATATCAAACCTAACAACAATGTTGAAATGTGTAAAAACTGAATAAAAATAAAAATTTTTTAAAGTGATTTTTTAAAATTAAAAAAATCAAGTTGATATAAAATTTAAAAAATCAACTGATTTAAATCAACCCAACCCTGTAAAAGCAGTGATTATAATCTTCTGCGGATCTCTCGAAGTCCGTGATTTTCAGTCTTCTCTGCTTTTCCCTCCCAGTTCTTCCTTTCCGTGAGTCACGTGGTTGGCACAAAATGTCCTCTTATTGACAATACGATGCCTAGCGATCGGCCTGCGCAATCCGCCAGTGTGTGCAATACTCGAATTTCAAGGCGCTTCAGTCATCGCGAAACTGCTAGGGAATGCAATGTTAGTGTGGGGTATATTTTAGCTCGATAGCGCATTTTCATGTGCATGAGCCCTCTTGAAAGCATTTATCATTCCATGAAGGAACTGACAAAATTGGACGTTCTCAAAATGAAAGAAAATGATTAGAAAATCAAAAGCAAATTTAGATTTGTGTGGTTAGAGGAAAGTTTGACCATGGCATCAAAGAAAGGTGACAAGGTTACTATTTGTGTTGGTGATTCTATTGTTAAAATAGAAGTTCCTCTAAATCTAATACCACCCCATCCAAGCACATTAATAAGCTGTTTTCCCTGTCCTCAAAGGTATGTTAATTGTTAATTACAAGATTTCTGTTGAAACATGAAATTTGTCTCATGATTTTATTTCGCAGGTACTGTGCTTTTGTTGGCATATCTCTCCTTTTTTACTTTAGCTCGTTATGATCACTGTAAAAGGCATATAAAAAACATTTCTTTTCGCAAAGCTGATGAATGAGCCATTAAAAAATTATAAGCAGTCAAATAAATACAAAGCGCAAAACGCGATGAAGTCAACAATTAGTTAATTAAATTAGCTCAGCAGAACAAGCGATAGTGCCAAATACACACTAACAACACGCACGCACATACATATTAGAATAATTTTTTGCCATTTTTTAGCTTCCTACAGACCTCATCTGCTGATTCAATGCCCGCTGCCTCATTGATGGTTCCCCCCTCCCGTGTTTTCGACTTTCTCACTTTTCTACTTTCTCCGTTGTAAAAAACTACATCTAGATCTATTTTGCATTGCCTTTAGTGAAACTGTAACTGAAACTGTGCACATACACTGTTGGAAGTTCTGATGGCCGAATGGACAGCTTGTCTGCGTTTGAAATCAAACAATCATTATTTTATGAGCGTGTGATCGAATCCGGGGCCAGGAAGGGTTGTTTTTTTTTTTCTCCCCATCCCGACTGACCAACGATTTGTTCCCATAATTATAATTAGTTGCTTTGCAGTTTTTTATGTAGTGATGAAGCATGCACATTCTGGTTTTGTCCCCAGGAGGAGCTTTTACCTATAAAGTATACTTTTACTTTTACCAATTTAGGCCTGTTAAAGTTAAATAGTGGCTTTACTTGGTGTGTGAATCTCATTTTTAAAAAAAAATTATTTTTTGCTCATTTACAAATTTTCTTCAAAGTTGCCTTGAGAGGTAAAATGAAGAAAATATGTAAAATTAAGTAAAATATTCTGGGATGCATCCTGGTCTTAAGGGGGTGTAGCTATGGTCAACACCCAAATCCTATAGTTTTTGGTCTAATGTTTGCTTTTCTGCATCAAAGGCGGTGACATAGTACAAAAAAAGGTTACCAAGCAAAAAATTCAAGATTTTAGCCATAATAATCCCGAGCCATAAAAAATAAAGGATTGATTCAGCATTTTTAAAACCAATTTTATATTTTGTCAATCATCAACACTCATCAAGATAGAAGCCTAATATTTGGCATGGCGATTACTGTTGGTAGGTAGAACAACCTTACAGAGCCAAATTTGAATTTTCTGTACTGACTTGTGAGCCTTACAGTCCTTGCTATGCACCACATTCAGGTCTCCAATGTTTTCAGATTTTGTCAAATAAAACAGGCCTAAAACTCCAAATGTGTTCCATAAACAGCAAAAATGCTCCTGTAAAGTTATAGAGAAATGTGTATAAAAGATTGTGTCCAAATTTGAAACAATTCTGACAGTAACTTTCTGAGATCTACTCAAAATAGTGTTGCTACCTGGTCAGATAAACAATTCTGAGAAAACTGCAAAGAGAGATAATTTTTGGTGAAGATTTTCCTACATTGCTGCCTCTCTTAAATGCATTTTCCAGCTATTTATAAGTTTGATAAAGGAATTAGGCTTCTAAAGATGGATCCTTGATATTGATATCTATTAAGATACTCCAAAATCTGAAAATTGATATTTTTTCAAAATTTTTACTGATCTGACCAGTGGATCCCCTTAAGATTTTTGTACAATACATTATTCCACATATGAAATAAGTTGGTCACATATTAATTAGTTATAATGTGCATCAATTGTTTCTTTGCAGAATTCAGAGCAGCCAGGCCATGTCAGAAACATCCTCCCCAAAAAGAGTGAGTTCAATTATTTGTACTTGTCATCATCATTGCCTTTCTCACCCTGCACCAGGGGCTCTCGTGGCCTAGAGGTTAATGTGTTTGCCTCTCATTCAAAGGTCCCAGGTTCAAATCCGGGTAGCGACCGAAAAATTGTCTTCTCTAAAATTGTCTCCTTTCACCTCCTCTCCTGCTCTCTAGCAATGTTTTATTGACTGCTGTCGTCTCCACTTTCTGCCTCCACCCCCTCAACTCCTTTGCCCCCTCCTCCGGGCTCCAGGCTCTTTCTGCAGCCTTTCTACTGCTACTCCATGGCTCATTCTTACTAATCTTACTGCTGTCTTTCAGCCACACCTCTGGTCTTCTGGTAGGAAAGATCTACACCTAGCCTTCTCGGAAAAGAGCGAAAAATCTCGGAGGGCCTGTGTGCAAGTTGTGCAGAGCGTGTTAATTCAAAATTTCCTACCAACTGAAAAAGTTTAATGTGTCCTGCGCGCTCGTGATCTTATACAGTTGCGAGCGCAGTAAAACACTTCAAAAACAAAAATCACCGTGCACCAGGGTATAGGTCACGGTCAAACGCTTTCTACCTTTCTCTATCCAGGGCTAGCCTTTTGGTGTTATTCCATGTCTACCCACTTTTCTGTACTTCAATTTCTGTGATTCTTCTCCAGGTTCCATGCCGTCTTCTCCTTGATCTTTTACCCTGTGGATTCCAATCCAACACTTTCTTTGTTATGCAGCTGTCTGACTTCCTGAGAGTATGTCCAATCCATCGCCACCGCCTTCTCCGTACCTCTTTTCTAACTGTGATCTGTACTTGTACAGTAGTATTATTTGTAGGAAATGTTGAGATTGATTTTAAACTTTATTTTTCCATCTTCTATTTTGTGTTGACGGGTTTGTGGATGTGTGTTGTACTAACCTTTTATGTAATGATTAACTTTTCAAAAATTAGAAAATGACCATATGATTACTTTAGTATTAGTCATTATTCATGGCTTTTTACTGCTTTTATTTCAGCCTCGGCTTGACTTTGATGACACTAAAGATGATCACTTCGACAAATACGGCAAGTAAGTGCTGTTGGATCTGTGTATGATATAATTCTGTATTGGTGTTTGCCTCTCTTTGTACTAGTTGAACATGTTCTTTCCTCTGATGTAAAAAAAACTCTTTCCCTTTTCAAATGTAGCATGAGTTATTGGAGGATGCGACTGGTAAAGTATCTTAACTCTCCTTTTTTTTTTTTATCTGATCTGTTTGTTCTGTCTTGCTTTTTTCCCTCACTAAATAGTAGGGTTGCGTCTCTAAAGTTAGACGAGACAAAACTCAAAAGGGGCTTTTTTCTGTGACGTTCAGCTGTGTCTATTGTTTTGTACACTTGTTTGCATCAGTTTGTTGGATTCAAATATTGCATTTTTATTTCAGAAATCGAGACCAGGATGATCAAAGCAACTTTGCTCAGTCAAAGTCGAGGAAGCGACCAGATATAGGTATATTTTTTTTTTCTATTTTGTTTTGTTTTGGTAAGCGTTTTACAGTACTCGTAACTGCTTCAGGTCATATGAGCATGCAGAAAACAAGTTGGTTGTTTTCACATGAAGCATTTTCCGTTTTGGTAGGAATTAATTTTGAATTTTGCCCAGATGGCGGCCGAAGCCTACTGTTATAATCTTAGTACTACCAAGGAATCTTTAACTCTCACAACTTGCTTATGAGACCTCCGAGATTTTTTCACCCTTATCCAAGAAAGCAAGGTGTTTGATCCTTCCTACCCTAAGATCAGGAATGTAGCTGAAAAAGAGCAGTAAGAAGGAGCCAGTAGCAGCAGTAGAGAGAATCTGGTGCCTAGAGGAGGGGGGGTGGGGGTGGTGGTGGAGATGGAAGCAGATGAAAGAATATGACTTGAGATCGGGAAAGGAAGTGAAAGGAGAAAATTTTAGAGACGAAAATGTTTTGTCATGGTCCTGTTTGGAACCTGGAACCTATTGAATGAGAGGGGGTCTCCTTACCGTGCCTCTAGATAACGAGTGCCCTCTATTATAATCTGTCATTTTTTTCTCAGTAAAATATTTGTAATAGGGGCTACTTTTCTTGGACAGTATTGTTTTGTGGACTATCATTTCCTGCTGTTGCTGGGCTTAGACCTGTGTTCTTGATGATGCTTTGTTAAAGAAATACAGTTTAACCGGCACATGTGGGTGGTTGGTGGGTGCTCTGTTGTGGTTTGCTCCTTTTTCCTACCAAACATCTATCGTCCTTATCTCTCCTTCTTTTTTCAGTGTTTCCACTCTTCCGTATTTTTACGGAAATCCGTACTTTCTGCCAGTTCCGTACTTGTTCCTCCATCATTATCAACTCCCACTGTAAAAAACTGTGACGATAGCCCAGGACTTTCGAAATTCCGTACTCGCCTTCGTATCGTTTTGTATAAGTTGCGGATATTTACAGCAATTCTCTCGGCAATAATTTAATGTTATAGAGACCTGCCAGATTGTTCATTTCCTACAATCGGCCTTTATTCTGCTATGCCCCATGCATTCATTGCGGGTTGGTCTGCAGTACACTTTTTACCTGCAGATGGATCAAAATCTGGCGATCTTTTTGTGCCAATTTCCTCCTTTCTATCATTCGCTCATTCCTTCTGTCTATCTTCAGATTATTGCCGCGGCTGGAAAATCTGCGCATTGATCAAGTAAATTGAGTTGTGATCTTAGACAGAAAATTACTGTCAGAAAGAAACTTTTTTTTCAAAATTATCTACATCTAAGCGAAGATTCTCTGGCACGTGAACTTGATATAAGGGCCGCGATGAAAGAAATATATGCTGATACGGGGTGCCCACTACGGGTGGGATCAGCCGATCGAGCTGATCACTCTACTGTCGCCTAAAAAACAAACATGTTTGTTTTCAGTTTCGGGCGATCGGCCCGATCCAGCCGCAGGTAAAATCAAGAATAATTCGAAGTGGTGTTCCGAGGTTGTGACGGAAGACATTCAGACGTGAAAAATTAGGCTATACCCTTTGCAACTGTATTGTGAAGTTATATATCTATTCATTATTCCCAGGTTTGCCTGCTATCAATGGTGTGACGACAAATTAGTTGAATTATAGAAGCAATGAAAGGGGAACCTGCTTTTAAACATTGCCAGCAATGGAAAGATATGTTGGTGAAGAAATCAAAAAGACAAAATGTTGATGAAAAAATAAATGTTATGGGCTGTAGGTCATTTTTTCAAACTGGCTCCCAAATGCCATTTTCTACCCTCTAAAAGCACAAAATTTCAATTTCTTCGAAGCCCCCCTGAACCCCCACTGGGACCCTGTCCCTTGATCCTGCTGGGGGCTCCCAGACCCCCGGCAGAATTTTCCTTACTTTCCAGCTTCGGCTGCTGGTGGAAGCACTGTTTTTTGTGTCAGTTACTCTCCTGTGTCTCCTCTTATCTCCAATGCTTGTATGACAAATGTGTTGCAAGTGCCGTAAAACTCTTACGAAAACGGCAAGCACATTGCAAACACCCGCATATTTGCAAAACACATGGTGAACAGAGTTGTAGTCTGTAGTTCTCGAACCTGTTCTTCAACATTCTTTGTATTCAAAACATGCATGTAGTGTTTTGCTAGTGTTCTATGAAGTTAGGTAAAAGTTAAGTTGTCAAGAGTGGACCATGAAGAAGAAAAGAGGAAAGGTATCTCAAAGAAAAATGTTGGATCTTAGCAGACTGGATCAATGGAAAAAACCTTAGCATACAAAACAAAGGCGACTATGAATCAAAATACTTTTTTCTAGTCTGTCTAGATGTAGAGAATTTGCTAGTGTGAGGATTTTATGGGAGCATGACAAAGGCTACGGTGAAAGAAATTGATTCAAAACCTAAAATCAAGAATACTTGGAACTGAAAATGGAGGAAAATTAAGGTGCACCCTGGGTGACTCTGCCATCAAGGCAGTTGTTCCCTGATTTGTTTTCTGTCAATGGTGCAATGGCAGTGACAAATTTGAATTGTAGCAGGATGGCGAGAGGAACTTCTTTTAAATATTGTCAGAAAGGGAAAGATATGTATATGATGAAGAAATCAAACATGACAAAAACTTGATGAAAATATAGGTATTACGGGCTGTTGGCAGTCAATTCAAACACGTTTCCGAATGCCAATTTCAACCTTTTAAAAGCACGAAATTTCAATCTTTTAAAAAAACGAAATTTCAATTTTTCCTTGAGCTTCGGCCATTGAACTCCCACCTGGTTGCTGTATATGGAACCTGCTGGGGGCCTATGCAGCCACCAAAATCTTGGTATCGAATTTTCTTTACTTTTCTGCTTTGTTAGAAACACTGATTATAATGACACTGTCTGAGACATCTGCTAATCCAAGACAACCGCTATTCTCTCTGACAAAAGCGGATTGTCTTGGGCAATTTCAACTGTAATTGATTTACCAATTCAGTTGAAACAACTACTATAGAGTCTGCTTAAAACACTCGTAGGGACAAGCAGGTTTTCTTCAGTTTAACCGTGTTTCAGAATTAAAGATATTGCGATGATTGTCACAGTGTGGGGTTGGGATGGCCATGTTTAAGACGAGTTTCACTTTTAAAAATCTATTTCCTTGCTTTAATCTGCTGAACAGTCACACAGAACAAACAGAAGTAGACCAGCACACTCTACTGTGCTCTGGGCTAAACTATGAGGTCTGCCTCAGAATAAAGTTTCCCTGTCATGCTGTCCTCACATATAATTATAAATCACCTTGTATTTGGTATTAACAGTAAGCTTATTGAAATACCTATTCAACATACATAGCTGCCACTTTCCCGCTAAATAGCGGAAACTCCGCTTCATCTAGCTTTTCCCGCAACTTTCCTCCCTCCGCCGGACCAACCTTGGTCGCAAATTTCATACTTTTTTCCCCGCGGAAAACACCAAACCGGGAGAGGGACGAAAACGCGGCTTGTGCATGTCCACCCGTAGCTTTCTACTTCCGTCTTCTAGGCCCAGCGCTAGTTTCACATTGTTTATTGTTGTGGAGCAACGCAGTGTCGATCGGGCATCAGGACATTAGCGCGCCGAGTTGTCATTGAAAACGGCGGAAATTCAAGAGAAATTGATTCAGAATGCAACAATAAAAGAAGCTGGAATGAGAAAAAAAGCAGTCGGTGTGCGACTTGAAAAGTTCATTAGAAAATTGAACTAGCCGTTTTTGGGGAAAGAAATCGCGGCCCGCGGCACTCCTGTACAATTGCGGTCCTGTTTGTTTACATGACGGCTATTGTGGCTGCTGTGGAAGTGAATCTAGATCTAGATCTAGATCTTGATCTAGTAAATCTATAGATATAATCTAGATCTACACATATTTAGATACATCTAGATCTAGATTAGATAGCCTAGGCTATAATTTTAATTCAATTTAGATCTCTAAATAAGAAACACACTACAGGGGCACTAAATGCAAACGGGACCGCAATTGTACAGGAGTGCCTGCATCCTTGATCCGATTATACTGCTCTACGTCTATGTACAAGTTTAAAGTGAAAGAAATCTTTTTATGAGACACCAGCTGGCAAAAAACACTGGATTTTTAGTCACCAAGTCCAAACTGTGTCAAATTGACTCGAATGCTTGTTAGTCAACTTACTGCCTTTATGGTTTTTTGTTGGGGTTTTTTTTTCAAATACATTTTAATTCAGTTGCCTATGGTTAACAATGTGACAGTTTTCCCTTCCAAAACCGTAGGCTAGATTTTCCAGTAATATATATATTGCCTCTGGACCTCACTGGTTTCGGAGAGCGCGCATATGCCTTCGTGTGAAATTCCTCCTTTTTTAAAATTTCTGAGTGGCAGCTATGAACATAGGAACCATCAAGTTCAAGACATTTCTCCATTTGATGTACCCAGCGGTCAAAGACAGTGGTCAGTGATCATTTGTCCAAGGTCCTGAGCGTTTTTCTCATATCCACTAGAATCTGGTCCTCATTCTCAAATCACCGACCTCACAGCATTTCTTTCACCTAGCGAAAGAGGTGGAAGTTGATTGGGCGAATAGGGCGGGTGTTCCAATAATTCCCACGAGTAGCCCTCAAGAAGCTCGTTCACAACTCTGGACTTGTGAACAGGCGCGTTGTCGCAATGCAGGATGACCCCTTCTTCAAGCAAAGGGGTCTTTCTTCAGGATTGCAGGTCTCAGCTTGTCTTTGAGAATGAACCTTTAGTAATCACCATTGACAGTTACGCTAGGTGGGACTAGCCAGCTCAGTATAATACCAAAAAAACCAATGTGCATCACCTTTCTTTCCCCGTGTTTTTTGTGTGGACTTCATCTTTCATGTCAGACCTCCCACCTGCAACCTCCATGTTCCATTTCCTTACTGTTTTAATTGATGGGGCATTATTCCCTATTACTTTGTTTAGATCACCATTGGTTTCAAATGCAGACTTGGCGAGAAGAGTTAAAAATTTGATCACAACTCGGACGTCATAGCATTATGTGAAGGTTGCACCAATGTTTTGCTCAGCCATTCTCCTCAAATTTGCCTTGGACAAAGTGCACAAGAACACCACTTTTGACACGTCACAGCTCTATGACCCGTTCACCAATGCACTTACAATTTGGCGTTGAGATTTCTTAGACATGATTTCATGACTTGACAAAATTAAGTGGCTGTTGGTTGCATACTTTGTTTTTATGGAGGAGGGAAACTTTATACTGAGACAGACCTTATAGTCTTGAGAAGTGAGAAAACCCAGTGCTGGTTTCTTAATGAAACACACCATGTGCTGTTACATGCTCATGCGTGGGGTCTGTGTGAACTAGCATCAGAGAGAATGAGTGAGTCATGAACCACCTTCTAAGGTTGTGGGACAGACGCACATTTGCTGTCCTTGCTTCAATATAATATAACGCCTTTAGTATGTGTGATAAAAGTTGTCTTTCTCTGGGCAGCAATCGACACACATGCATTTTCGTGTCCTTTCAGTACGTTTTTCTGTCTTGAAGACCATAAGTCCTGGTGGTTGCATTATTATTTGCAGGTTGAAGATTTAAATGTCATAACCTTGAAAAGTCTTTTTAGTTTAGAAATAGAAACATTTAAGCTGGTGGATAGTTTTCTCACAAAGGCAAATTTTAAAAAATTGGGGTTATATTGGTTTTACTGCTGTTTTCAGATTAACCATGTTCGGTTTAAGCTAACTCCACAGTATAATTGGAGTAAACCTTTCTAAAATGCTTTATGAATATTGTGTAGTTTCCCATATTTCAAGCAACTTTTTCCTCACGGCGTCACTTTTCGCCCGATTCTGTTACCTTTAGTCAGCGTGACTCAGCAGCCCGCCGGAGCTCCCCAGCTCGGGGTCACGGGGTTAATGAGCCCTGAAGCGACTTTGCCGGTGTCGGTTAGGAAGTTCGCATTTTTGACTATGTTTAAAACCATATAACTTCTTCCCCATCCCACATAGCAAACCATTACGCGGATGTACTATAAAAGCTCAATGCCTTGAGATTTATTCTGCATTACAATGGTTAATTTCTGTGCCTTAGTTTTTGTTCAAGACAAGTGTTTGTAGAGTACCCAATTTGTCCTATTTTAGTTACAAACTTATGAATAAATGATTGTTAATTTTTAAAAGCACGACAGATCTCTCCAAATTCTGTGTTAAAGTGACTACGAATACCATGTCTTTTACCATGAGAAATCTTAAATCTGCGCAAGTAGAAATAGTCAAGTTATAAAAGAAGAAAGATGCACATCTGCATTTCTTAACTAAAGACGATCAGCGTTAGCTCTTATTTTACTATTAAACAAGAGAAAGTTACTCTGCGTTTGTTCATGAATCATCTGTGTCTGTGGCAGCCTGCATACATCTAAAAAGATATAATATAGAATCTAAGCGATTAAAAAAACCACAAAACCGTGTAAATACATGGGTAGAGATAAACTTCTTGTAAGGAATAAAAATAATGACAGCTAACACATTCATTCTTAGTTTTTTCATCGGAAATATGCGCGTATGATGTAAAGAAATCAGTCACATTGTCAGTTATTGCAAATGGTCATAGAAACAAAAAATAAAGCTGGAAAAGTCTGGTGCTGATTCAGTGTCATTGGAAAGCTAGAAATTATTCTTATAACACAATTACAAGAAGTCATCCCTATTATTCAGTCAACTTACAAAACCTAGACTTAGCATTTTAAGAAAAGTAAGGAGTTCTGTAGTGTAACAGATACTGTTTGTGTTTTGCATTGAAGATGTATTCTAGCACTAAAATCGATTTGTACTTTTCATAGAGAAACTTCATGGTGACTTTTATAAACTTTCGAGAAAATATGCGAATATTCACGATTATATTAGACACATAAAGTTGTATTTGGAGGAATTACTTCATAGCGAATTGTGTGCCCGATGGACAAAGTTGCAAAATTACAGCTTTCTATTATATGCGCAGATACCATCTTTTCTGAGTATCTGCACCAATGCTATGTCGTTCATGTTCCAAAAGTTCGACAGATTTTGACGAGGCCTTTTTTATATTGATTTTTTTAAATTCACGCTAGTCCAAAAAAAAATTACAATTTAGCATTGCCGACTCCAGCGCGTCTAACGAAATAACCAGACAAGTTACAAAGTCTGTTCTCTTTTGAGTCTCAAGAGCAGAAATGCGTACTTTGGGTGCACTCAATGAGAATTACCATAAATCAAGGATACACCTTAAATTGTACTTTAAAAAGTACCAAAAATTAAGTCGGCCCAGACAGAGCGTGGACAGGGAGCTGACCCCGACGTGATAAGGCGCCCGGCGGAGAACCCCCCGCGGCGACTAAAATTCCACTGGTGGTGCGCCGTGTCCTTTGCAATAGTTTAGTATGATTTCTTTGTTTTTCCCAGATGATGATGACGGCAAGGATGAAGATGGGAAGTCTAAATCTGTGACCATGGAAACTGCAAGAAGGGAGCATACTTTAGTGATGCGACTCACAAATAAGGAACAGGAACTACAAGATTGCATGGTGTGTTGAAACGTTTCTCTTGTATTTTCTTTTTATATTGAACTTACTTTGTCACAATCCGGTGGAATCTGGCGCTTGTCAGTTTTTAGGCATGTAGAGTTATTGATATATTCTTAGAGCTTATTCATTTGTCTTGCTTTCAATGAAAAAAATACCAATCTATTTCTAACGGAAGTCAAGATATATGTGATTGAATGTGGTTTGGTCGCCTGGTTTCCGATGTAAAATTAGTGAAAAAATGGTTGCCGAAGTTTAGTTAATTCCATAGTCTCAGAATCCTTGGAAACTGAAAATTTACAAGCATCTGTCCACAAGTTGATGCAATGCATGATTGAGGCCAGTACATTGTGCAGTCAGAACTCGTATACTGGGTTTTTGGTGTTTTTTTTTACCCATTGTGGGTTTGAAATTGGTTTATGAAACAGAGAACATAGTGATCAAGTGATTGTATTATTTTGAAAGACCCTTTCATGTGATCTTGTAGTGAAAACAAACAGTTCTGCAATATTTCTTTTGAAGAAAACTATTCACTATCATTATCACAAGTGAATGGTGTAAAAATATGCAGTGTGGAGTATCTGCGTATATTTAAATGTAAGTCCATCTGTTTAAATGTAGGTATAGTGAGTGTTGTTTTTCACTTTGTGTTTTCTGAAGGAACTCTTTCAAAATACAGCTGTTTTCCCGTTTTACAATATGTGGCTTGGAAACATGTGGTTGTTTTGTTTTGGGGTCTGTTTGGGAGGGGGGGGGTGTTGTTTTTTTGTGTTGTTTTTTTTTCTGTTCAGTGTTAACTTTAAAAATTTTCTTTGAATTGTCAGAATATTCTTAGTTACACTTTATTAAGTATTAGCTCTCTTTAGTGATTGTGCTTGGCCGGAACTTTAAGGTGACCTGTTGTGTTTGTATCCTGCCAGAACCAAATTCAAGAGATGAAGCAAGCCCAAACGCAGAACACAGCTCAGCTCCGGTCGATGCTTCTGGATCCAGCAATCAATCTGGTGTTTCAGCGAATGGCTGGCGAGATGGACGAACACAAGGAGAAACTCAAGCAAAAACAAAACGAACTCAGCGCCTGGAAATTCACGCCGGACAGGTGCTGCTTGTTGACCATTCTCTTGTCATGTCTTGTGATCCGTAGCGCCCTTGCGAAAGATGCTAGGCTCAGAGAAGTAACATGAAGGAGCGTTGGAATCCATGTGTAACACTTGATTCCCCGCCATCATTTTGGAGTGTGAGCTGCTGGGAGTCCCAGGGGGATTCTGTTTTGTATGTATCTCCTCCACACTGATCGCTCGGGCTCCATGTTTGCGGTACTGATTTCTTGCTCAACTATGAAAGGGTGAATATATACAGTAAAAGCAGGTTTTCAAAAAAACGTGAGAGGGTGAATATTCTAATGTACACAATTCCGTCTTTCCTCCCTTACATCATTATACTGACAACCCCCCCACACCTCCCTCCCCAGCCCAAGCATTCCACAGAGTCGTGGGAGGATATTTTATCTCCTTTTGGTTTCAGTGTCGTCGTGAACGGAAGTTGGTCTGTACTACAGCTTCTGAAGTTTTCCCTCACAATGCTTGGCTTTAAGAAAGAGTCTTTGATTGGGAAAATATTTCATGTTCTCTTTTGTGCCTTGTGCCTGCCCCGTGTGTTGGAAGCTCTCCAAGGATCGGATGGTTCATTTCCAGCTTCATTTTGCTGAGCCTAAAGAGTCTGGAATGGGCTCACGGTTACATTTGGCTAAGAAGACAAGAAAGCGGTGCATGCTAAAGGGACAGGAGTATAGCTGGTGGACAGAAGAAATCATGCTTACGTTTTACGTGCGTCCGTGTGTGTTTGTCAGTTCAGTGTATTTGATCAAATTGCTAAAATCATGTTGGGTTTTTTTTTTTCATTGTTCATACACTTTGTACTTTTTTTTTCCATCATAAAGGTTAGCTTGTATAGGGGGGTGGTCCTGAGTTAGTTAATTTTTTAAAATGTACTTTTTTGTCCTCATGTTGTGCTGTTTTCTGCCTTTTCTTAGATCTTTTGCTTAGCTACCATTCAATCCTCTGGAATCCTCTTGGAAATCTGTTTCTATTTTCTGATTATACTTTTTCTTTTAATTTCATTCTGTTATTCTGTTGATGTGTATGAGTTTCTGACTACCAAAGATAGTGAAAGGAAGTGTCTGGATGTGCTAATGCTATCTGTTGTTATTTTGTTTGTGGGAGGCTAATATGGAATTTAGAAACAATGGTGTAGAGATATTTGTCACGGAGCTGGGGGGGGGGGGGGGGGGGGGTGTTTAAATACGAAGTTTTCCTGAAGATTGGTCAAAAAGAAGAAGAAAAATATATATATGTAATATTGCAAGACTTTGTTTACATTGGTGTGGACACACACATTTAAATCCTTGCTTCACTGCAGAATATTATACTGATGATACTTACTTACTCAGTTCCACATAAATTCATAATTGAACTACGCCATGGTTGATAGGTCCGTTCAAGTTATGGTTATGTTTCCTGCAATGACTCGGCAGTGCTCTCTTAATGTAATCAGAAATGAGAACCAGCTGTTGCCGTACTGAGACTGACTGTGTGCGTGCTGGCCTGTGTGTGTGACTGCGTGTATGTTTGTGTTTGTTTCTGCAATGGTTAGTTCATGGAGGGAAGGCATTCAAAATGTTTGATTTTCGTCTTTGATCATGTGAGAGCTTTCTTTGTTCGTCTGCATCTGTATGTGTATATGGGTATCGTGGCAGTGTTTGTTTTTTCACTCTTAGTCCATATACCTTTCTTCTGCTGTCTGATTTCAAAGCGAAAAGTTGTTTTCGTTTTTATAAATTTTATTTTTCATCCTCTTTTATTATTCTGCTCCTTCTTTTCGGTTCTTACTAAGGGAAATATGAGCAGTAGCTTGTTGGTTTACTCTAAACTCACTTGACACCCTTTTTTCTGCTCTATTCTCTTCACAGCTATTTTACATTTTCTTAGCAGTACATGGCACTTTCCTCCCTTGGTCAGTAAGAATCCTAACATAATGCAACTCCCTTTCAGTTACTGGGTCTCTTAGTCTAGCTGACTTTGATACTGGGTTTGTCTCTTCTATCAGAAACTGTTGTGCTGCCTTTGTGTTTAAATTGTGTTTGTTGTGTTGTGGAGCTTTATGTGGTTTAGGAACCATTTTGAACATGGTTATAGCCCACGAAAGCTCACAAAGTGGGCTCAAGAACAGACCAAGGAGGAGGTACCGGTTATCAACTGCACCTGACAACTTGATGTTTTAGATGTTTGTTTATATGCAGATGGAAATCGTGGTGTATCATCAGTTTAGAGGAAAATGTCCATGTGACTGCCTAGATGAGGATTTTCAACTGGTTGTGTGCATGAGCAAGGGAAAGTATTGTGTTAGTTAAAGTGGCTAAAGCCAAGCTCATGCAACATGACAAAGATTTATAAGGCTTTGTCCTGCAAATTTCGGATGTGATGAAGTGTGCTTAAAATATTATCTTCTTGCTGTTTTGTGAGCATCTACTTGCTGTTTTATCAACATGGCAAGTTATACTAGTTGTAAACCATATTAATTAGAAGTGTCTTCTAGCTTAAGTGCTTCAACACAATTTTAAAAAGCTGCTCCCTGGCCAGGAATCAGCTTCTTTCTTGTAGAATGGAAACGGATGAAGAAAACCAGAAGAAGCAATATCCTTTTATAGTGCTTCGAAGTGATGTATCACTGGGGCTGCACTGTGCCTTGTGTTCAACAGTTTCTCCGTTGAGGAATGTTACGTGAAGTGTATCAAATGCAGTCTCATCTTGCCCTGTGCTGAGAGTGAGCATGCCACAGATACTACCAAAAGGGCCCTTCCACAGGGTTTCAGCACGGACACCTCATCCTGGTTCTGAAAGGCTGGGTTCAGCTCTTTCCCTTTTGCAGAATGCAACATCATGAACCACATCTGAAGAATCAATCTTTTGCTGTTATGTGCTGCGTCAAAAGCTGTATACGGTCTTCACTAGGCCCGATTCTTGCAATCGATTCACTTGATCACGTTCAGGTGTTTGGCCTTTGGGACCAAAAGACTCGTATCCCGCCTCACAAGCAAGTTCAGCGTTTCATTTTTTCAAGCAAGCAAGTACAGCACACTTCTGTCTTACCCTTACACAGCTTTGACTTGATGCTCTTCGTTCCTCAGTCAAGCGCACTATAGCTACGTTTGAAGGTTCATAGTTCGAGAAAGCCAACATCGTTGTTTTATGTTTCCAGCTCTGACCTGTGCTGCCTTGGCAACTATCACAAGTGGGTGAGATTCGCCCGCTTTCAGCACACATTCGACAACTACACATTGATAATTTAGTGCTGCTTGATATTCAGCAAAGACATCCTCTTCTTGATAACGTGCCCGTGGGAAAAAGGCGTTGTGTGTGTAGATGAAACCATGGGGTTACTGTACTCTTCACATGCTCCCCAGCTCGGGTATGATAAATGTCCAGCTGGCTGCTCTAGGGGCCTGCAAGTGTCCCAATAATCGAGTGAGCGGCTGATACAGTGCTAGACCCAGGACCAGCCGACTGCTCGTTGGCACCTGTGGGTGTGTCCAGTCAGCTTGTAGCTGGGTAGCCAATGGTTTGATATCACTCCGTGTAGACTATGACTATGACAATCCTACTAAATTGATTTGCATCTGAAAGGCATCGCGTTGATCTTCTGTCCTCGTTTGGTGAGTATGCGCTGTTTCAGTTTTATTTGTTTCTGCATCATTGTCATCCTCCTTCAGAGGAATCTTCTCTGTTGGGATTTTTTTTTTTGGACCCCTGTGTTGTGTTCTTGTTTGTTTTGTTCCCCTGACTTGTTTGTGTTGAAGTTGAAGTCTTCGTTGCATGTTTTCAGCTGGTTGTGATTTATATTTATTTCTATAGGAGAGCATGTGAGCTGAATGACAAAACTGAGAGTATAATGAACTGATGGAGACAAATGATTTTTTTCGTGCAGTCGAACAGGAAGTTGTTATGGTTCTCAGTGGTTTGGATATTAGTATTCTCATTTGGAGTATTCAAGTCAGATGGGGGTTTTGTAAGCCAGTGTTCTTTGAGATTGGGAACATGAGTATGACACGTTTTTCATGGCTCTAGGCTTTAAAATCTTCTTGAGACCATAATTTATTTTGAAATGGGGAAACAAATTATTTCTGTTTTCTGCCAGACTAGGTATGGGTTATTATTTTGAGGACTGTCAGGGGATAGAAATTGATTTTTAAGAAAGAGATGGGAGTTTATGAGTTGAAGTGTCCAGAAGGGTCACTCCTGTGTTGCTGCTGTATCATGTAGGTTGGGTTTTTTTTTCTGAGCTCTATTAGAGATCTTTGTGATGTCTTTGACTGCTGCAAGAGGAGCCAACTGATCAGAACTTTTGTTAAGTTTTTCGAAAGGCGATTATTCTGTTGCTTGTATTAGTTCTTGACTAAAAGTCTGTTCCTTTCAGTTGTCTGCGGACTATAATATGTTGTTTACTGATACTGTTATAAAAGCAAAATCTATTTTTAGAAGTTGTATTTCTTGGTAGCTTTAGTAGTTTGAGGAAGTCCTTCTTCAATTGTTTGATTTTATGAAATGGAAGTGAAGGAAAGTTTAGAATTTGACAGGTTTTTCTGTCTCTTGAAAAAATGTAATGCATCGCCGCCCTGCCCCAATGTGGCTAATTAAGGTTTATGGGGGGGGGGGGGGGGGGGGGTCCTTTGTAAGTTTTCATGTTTCTGATCCATAGAGTAGTACATTTTTTACACTGATGTTCACATGTTAAAAATCCTTGTCTGGTTTTCTTCCTCTATAAATTCTATAATTCCTGACTTCCGTACTTAAAATTCTTATATATGTGAAAGCACATCTTCCCTAGCCTATTCTTGTCTTTACATCTGCACTTGTTCCTCCAATTTGTTTTTGTGTGCCTGTGAATGAGAGAGACTTGCACAAACTACTTTCATGTAACAGTATGTCTTGGTTTTTGTGATTTAGTAGAGACGAGACTTGGGTTTAGTCGGCCTTGGGTTTGATTTGGCTAATGCTATTTCTCAAAATATCTTTATATCCCAATTATATGACTTTCAAGATC